AAAAAAAAAAAAAAAAAAAAAAAAAAAAAAAGGCTCCAGAAAAAAACACTGCACTGGCTCCTTTGTCCTGGAAGAAAGGCAAAAAGCATGAGGTTTCCTGTCATTTCTATGGAGAAAACCAGATCAAAAGGGTCAGATCACATGAGTGCAAGGAGATCTTATCCCTACCAAAGCAACCTTGGCTCTTGGCAAGACTTGCTCCTGAGTCTCTGAGAAGTTCACCCTAGAGGCCTTCAGTGTCTCCAGAAATCACAACACAGTGTTGCAGGGTAGAGGAGACTCCCAGAAAGACTTCCAAAAGCAGTGCAAGGCGGGAGGAGGTCAGAAATGCTCTTTTCCTCCACTACTAGGCACCAGGCACCTTGCAAAACAAAGGATTTGATTTGGTGCCTGCCTGCCTCTGACTCAGCTGTTGCAGCACTCACATTGCCGGAGCTCCCCCGTGGCCTTCTATTCAAAGGCATAGAAATCCGGTGTGCAAGCGTATTGTTGCCCCCCAATGAGTGAAATTCGGCGATAAACGCATCAAGGTTAGTTTCATATGGAACAAGACCCGTTTCTGCGCTCCTCCTGCATCCAGCACTGATTTCCAAGATGCTTCTCAACTTTCCACCAACATCTGACTCAATCAAAGCCTTTTGTCCGCATTAAATAATAATAATAATAAGCTCCTTTTACCTGGCTTGCCAGGTGCCTCACCTCAGCAGATGCAAGGGCTCCCAGGTTGTAAGGACCTACTCTCCTCCCTTCCTACCCCCGCCTCTACCCTCACGTAAAGCCCCTTGTTCCCTCCTCTGTCCATGGGCCCCCCTCCCCTCAGGGCCAGGCCGCCTGCCTGGCCCTCAGTTCGGAGGCTCAGCACCGTGCCCCCCAAGGCCCAGGCCCCTCGCTGCCACCCGCGTTCCTTCCTCCTCCTGGGCACTGTTTCGGCGTTCCTGGGCCTGCTTCACGCCCTCGCTGCCGCGGTTGCCAGAGCCGCCGGGAAGGCCTCTTGCGGGCACTGCGAGCACCAAGTGGTACCCTGAAACTCTGCACCTCCTCTCCCGCCCTGCCGGGTCTCGTGCACAAAAACCAGGGCGGCCAGGCGCCGCCTCCGGTGCTCAAGAACCCAGCAGGACAGCAGGCGCGCCCGCCCGGCGGA